AGGGAGCCGCTGAGCTGTCCCTGAGCGGTAGCTCGGGCTGCGGTGACTTGTTGGAGGGGGCAGGTGTTGAGTTTTGTGAGACTCTGAAATCGCTTCTGTTTCTTAAGTGTGCTTAAAAGATATAATGCCGCTTGTCAATGTGATTGGCACAGGGACATTTCCAGAGACTTGTGCGAGCTACACAAAAGTGACTGACTTGAGAAGCCTTTCGGGGTGGAATCCCAGGTCTTCTGTGCTGCCTGCCTGCTCTGCCGTGACAGAGACAAGTTGAATCCCAAACATAGTGCGAGTTAGTGTAGGGCTAGTTGTAACTCATTTACTGGAGGGTATCACTATGCTCTGATTTCCTCCCTGTTATATTTTACTGTAATTTGTGCCCTTCATAATGGTGGTAGAGAGTGTCATCAGAGGGAGCTTTTTCAGACAGGTTTAATTGTTATGTAATGCAATTATCTTAAATAATTTTATAAAACCTCTGAAACATTTCATGGAAGACCCAAAAAAGATTATTGGTGAGGCGTTCAACTGTATGTTTTTCCTGTCAAGAAGTATAAATTAAAACCAGAATGGGGAATATCATTATCAGAAGTGCTGAAAACATGAACTTGGACTGTCAAGCTTTTATTCACTTTTTTTATTCATGGGTATGCATTGAAGACTTGATGCTTGGGAAATGTAAGAGAATTCCCTCCTTCCTGCCCTGACAGAGTATTCCTAGGTAGAATGTGCTTATTATCACAATGGACTTATCTGGTTTTTTACAGTTTAGGTTTCTTCTTATAACTGAAATCTTGCAATATTGACTCAGTGTTAAAATAGTTAGCTCAGGGATTTTGAAAGGCAGTACTTTGCTTTGGGATCTGGCTGTGTGTTGCTTTCACAAGGAGGCCTTGTGTGCTGGTTTTGGCTGGGACAGAGTTAATTGCCTTCATAGTAGCTAGCATGAGGCTGTGTTTTGGATTTGTGCTGAGAACAATGGTGATAACAGGGGGATGTTTTAGTTACTGCTGAGCAGCGCTTATGCAGAGTCAAGGCCTTTTCTGCTCCTCACAGCACCCTACCAGTCAGTAGGCTGGCGGTGCACAAAAAGTTGGGAGGGGACACAGCAGGGACAGCTGACCCCAGCTGACCAAAAGGGTATCCCATGCCATATGATGTCATGCTCAGCGTATAAAGCGGGGAGAAGAAAAAGGAAGTGGGGCATGTTCGGAGTGATGGCATTTGTCTTCCCAAGTAACTGTTAGGCATGATGGAGCCCTGCTTTCCTGGAGGTGGCTGAACACCTGCCTGCTGATGGGAAGTGGTGAATGAATTCCTGGTTTTGCTTTGCTTGTGCCCATGGCTTTTGCTTTACCTATTAAACTGTCTTTATCTCAGCCCAGGAGTTTTCTCACTTTTACTCTTCCAATTCTCTCCCCCATCCCACTGGGGGAGAGCGAGCGAGTGGCTGTGTGGGTCTCATTGCCAGGTGGGGTTAAACCATGACACCGTGTAACTGAGGGAAGGCAGAAGCAGGCATTCATATGAGGCCTTAAAATCATGTCACTCTAGAGCTGGCGTGTTTTCAGGGACCACTGCTTATAGTTGGTAGGTGTAGGTATTACCATAGAATAACGAATCAGAGGTAAGAAAATACAGAAATACAGTACTATGCCTTGAGGCAGGGTGGAGGTATGACTGGTCAATAGTGGGATTTTAAAGTAATGCTGGTTTGACTTTTCTGCCTTTAAAACTTCACATATTAAGAATCAGTATGTGGGCTTCTGGATTAGAGAGGAGATGGCAACTCAGAGTGCGCATTGAAATTCTGTTCCTGTTGAGAGTACGTGACGTTGTACAAGTTGTGTCTGTGGATGACAGTCAGTGAGACCCTAACATATGCAAGAGGTGCCGTTGACTTTGACAGCTGTCCTATTGTGGGAGTTCTTGATGGCCAAATAAATTGAGATCTGACTGCTTTTTGTGTTTTGCTAAATTATCTTGAACTATCAGTGCATTTGGAATTGAACCACTGCAGGTAATGTGTAGGCTAGATTGCAGTGCATAATGCTTGCTCTCTTGAAGATCCTGTCTGTAACGCCCTGCATAAAATACTCAGGATGGTTATAATTTTTGCCTGTGCTAGCAGTTTCTGTGGCTGCTTGCTCTCTTTGTAGAGTTGAACCAAGGATAGCAATACCCATAGATTTCCCTGTATTATGAGCAAAGTGCTTCCCAAATGGAGGCAGGTTGAAAGAAGCAGTCCTGTGGCATTAAAATGTGCTAACTCTTCATCTGGAAATGGCATTGGAGTGTTGGACTTCATGGAGAGCGGCCTGTAGAGTGGCTTCAGTGGAGCTGCATTAACGCTCAAGCTGAGGCATGAAGAGCTGCCTGTTTCATATGTGCACTGAGGATGCATCTGTCGATCCCATTTTGCACTAACATTAAACTCCCACAGTTCTTCTTCAACCCATTGTTAAATGTGGGATACAGTGGTGTTACATTGGAAATTTTTGTGGCACTTACGAAATGTGTTTATGAAAAAAAGGGATATGTGTATGTTATTTACTCATTAATGGCAAAATATCTGTACGTATATCTATGTGTACAGGATTTAACTGTCTTGTTTGGGGAATTTGTTAGCAATATTGATACAACTATAAAATTTATTAACTAAGTATGTACTTGTAAGGATCTGTAAAAGTATATTTCTTTAAGACAAAAAAAAATATTTTTTTGTCTGGGGTTGCACAGCACTTAGTTTAATGAAACCTGGATGGTTAAACCATGGAGTACATTGTCCGGGGTGATGTGCATGCCAATGGTTTGCCTGGGTTAGAACAGAGATTAGACAAAGTCGCAGGGCAAAAGGGTTACAAGGGCATTTTTTAAACACAAAGATAAAATTTCAGATATTTCTTGGCTGCTTATAAGAGGAAGCTGGATAAATGTCACTGTATTTACCCTACTGCTGTCATTTTCCCCCTGAGCTTTATTATAAACCAGTGTCAGACACAGGCTGTTAGGCTACTTTGGCCGTTGATCCATCCCGATACAGCTGTCCTTGTGTTCTGTAGTCGAGTTCCAGCACGCTCAGGGTACATGCCATTGGTGTCTCTGGAACAAACTTCTTCAGTTTATCTCAAAGAATTAAATGTGCTGCTTTGGCAAAACTGACATATCTTCTCTGAATTTTTTAACTGAGGGGAAATGGTTGAGTGATGATGAAATCTAGTTTTCTCTTTTTTTCATTTGATGCTAAAGTGCTTCAGACATTTTAACTGAAACATCTCATAATTGTTCTCAGATCCAAAGCTACAAAATATTTGGTAAACGTGAGGTAACTTCATTTGGAACTTGGTTTGGAGTGTCATCACTCGAAAATTGAATGGAAAAATAAATCTGCTTTAGATTAAAGTATTTAGTATATTGAGCATATGAGCAGCTTAGCTTCACAGTGTTGTTTGTATCAGCAGGATGCTTTATTCAGCTTTAAAAGCCAAGGAGATGTCTATTTACTTTGCCTGTGATCCTTTATATCTTTGCAGAGCAAAATGAATTTGTGTTTCCAGGGTTGTAGTGTTCTTTTCAAGTGGCTCTCTAGCCTTTTACATTCTCCTTACTAAAGCTGTAAATGGTTGAAATACCGCAGCTGAGAAGGTCCGTCTCAAGGAATTTGTTATGTGGTGTGGTGAAGAAGATAAAGCTGGTAGGAGTCACATGCTAGTATAACGCTGCCTGTCTTTCGAATAAATACTGAAGGGAAAAATCCTGAACACGTTTCCCCATCCCTCATCCCAAACTGCAGGAATTAAGTTTTCTTCTATTCAATTTGGCATATTATGTGTGTAGTCTAGTATATATGTACTCTAGTAACGTATTGTTTCATTTATATGTTGTTTTATAACCCTTTAAAATGAATGTAATTTACTTCAGGATGGCTGCATGACAGAGTTGGGTAATGCAAATTCTGTCTGTTGATTATGGAAGTAGATGACTAATATTTTGGTATAGAAGTGCTGGCATATCTTTAAATATCAAGTGTTCTCTAGATGTGTATGGTTGTTAGTTGAGTGCTTGTGGACATATTTAGATGAAAATCATGGGAGTGTGTATGTGTGGTTTGTGTCTGCGTGCAATGACAAGTCAAGCAAATTGTCTTATACAAGAGGCTAAACTACTCCTGGAGCAACACACTGAAATTTTTCTGCAGTGAGTAATAAAGAGGCAAGGATTTTTTGAGAGCTTTGCTGTTAGCTTGCAATGGCATTAGAACTTGTAAGACTAAATTTATAAGACCAAAAAAAACCCTGCAGCAGTCTTGGTTGATACTAAAGTGCAGAAGGCTGAAATAAACTTTTTTAACTTTTTCAGGTCATTGTGTAATGGAAAAAAATGGAGCTGACCGTGACGTTGCTATGGAAGGATCTAATGATTTGTTCATAGGCAACTGTAATAGCACAGGAGAGTCAGAAACAAGTGATCGGGTTTTTCAGGTGAGGTATGGGTGTCCTGTCTTTGTAGATACTTTACATCCTCTCTGTTGAATTTACAGTATGATATTTCGTCAATGTGTTTTTTCTTCCCTTTATAGTAATACGTTGCGTCTTTTAAAAAAGTACAGCAATTCCTTTCCTTGGATTCTTGTGCTATGCAGTTTTGAACTGATGAATATCTAGATGTTACATGTAACTACAACCTTTAGTAATTATATTAATAGATCCTGTTATAGGGCTGCATAAATATATGTTTCATTGTGTTAACAAAATCTTTTAATAAAGGAATACTTGATGACATGTCTTGGAGTAGGAGGGGTTCAGAACACTAGAAAATTGTGTCAAGTTGCTCAGTGACCAAATGTGGCAAATAAGAATCCAGGGACACAGGACATCTGTGTAGGTATCAGGGAACTGGGGTCTTTAGTGTGTTTATTATAAAATATTGCCAGATATTCCTAGTCAGAGCAATTTTTGTGCATGAATGTTTTTCTGCAGATTATTTCCACTAACATGAAATATCATTTGGGTAGTGATTTAGTAGTGTGTTTATGGTCTTTACACAATGTCTTTAACACAACTAATGTAATCTATTTGTTGCTGCTTTTCTGGTGTAGTTTACGGTAGACAGTTTCAGCACAGAAGATGTATACATGCAGAATTTTTAAGAAGTTTGTTTGACCTGGGTCTGGCTTTAGCGTAAAATTTAGAAACATTTTTCCTTTTTATTTGTAGTATACAAATTTTTGTAGCAGAAATGTCAGAGTTGTTCATGTGATTGCTGCAGGAGATACAACAAATTGCAGTACTTTCATTGGCCAAATGGCAGCCTGCAATGGTATTTTACACAAGAGCTGCCTATTTTCCATTATTTTTACATGTTTAGTATTTGTGTTGTCAGAGTTTCAACAAGACAGATACTTGTGCTTAAACATTTAAATTTAGTGAAAATGGGATGTGCTGTAAGGACTTGATCCTGCAAGCTTGATGAGAATAAGCTCTGAGTACCTATTTTTTGAGACTTGCAAAACCTGATTCTTGGTCTTGCACTGTGTAATTCCTGGACTTGAATTGGCAGGTTTGTGTTGCTTGTGTTTATTCTGTGGTAAAGAAATGTTTGTCTTCCTAGCTAAATGCATGTATCTAAAGGCCAAGTAGAATAGTATTTAGGATTTCTTGTGAAGTCAAATCAAGTTGGCAGATGTTTCACAGTTTTGTTTTGGTGTAAGTTCTGTCAGGTTCTGGGTAGACTTGTGATGTTTTAAAGTGATGAGAAGTTTTGGGGAACAGATTTTGGGCACAAGGGATTTTCTTTCCCCTTAGCAAAGAGAGTTTATTCTAGGAATGATAAATATAAATATATTTTCAGCATGGAAATGGAAAACAAGACGAGAGCTCCATCTGAGTAGACAACACAGCTCACTAGTTTTAAATGTTCTTTTCTTTTTCTTTTTTTTTAATAGAAATTGCTACTCAGGATTAAAGTACATTTTACTGTTTTTCCTCTGTGAAAGCACCTAACCTGCATGGATTCCAGGGATCCATTGTTTGGACAGAGTGACTCTCCCGCAGCCTTGCCCATCGCAGTACACCTCTCAGGCAGTTCTGCATCATCAGCTGCGCCTGCACGGCCACCCCAGCCACAGCCTCACTCTGCAGAGGAGTTCCACATGGTAGACCAAACCGGGCAGCCTCTCTATGAGCTGCAACCTGTAGGAGGGCCCACTGCGCAGATGGTGAGTGTGTCTGAAACAGGGCAGGTGGTGTGCTCACAGATGAGGGAGCCCTTTGAAGAACTTGTTGACATGGTGCTTGTTCGTTGTAACAACAGCTGATTCAGACTTTAGCAACAAGGTGAAACTTTTCAATGGTGCAGTTCATGTTCCAGTTGCTCTTCCTCAGGTAGGCATATCCTTTCTCCAGCCATTACTAATTTTATTAAACAACAACTTACATCTTTTGTCATTATCAAGCCTGGATGTTATTGTGAGATCTCATACTTCTGCGACTGCTGCTTTCTCTGTATTCCCTGGATAAGTCTCTCTGTGTTTTTTTGGGGAGACTGGAATACTAGCAATAAGCTAACCCATTATGTCTCTCTTCCCCCCGTCCCATTAATTTGCTTCAAACATCACTGTGTAATTCTTAATGCTTATTTTGTGAAAAGGTAACTCTCACCCAGAGGGTTTGGTTGGCATGTGTTGTACTCTCACTAAAGATACTTCACCCATGTAAAGTATAATAAATCTGAAAGAAGATAGTGTTTTGTATTATTCTACGTTTTCTAATGTTGTTGGTATCAAGTCCTTAATAATTATGGGAAAATATACTGTAGGGAGTTGTTTAAGTTTTCCAGAATTCTAGAATATTTAATTAAGTTTTTTTTTTTTTAAGTCCTGGAGCTTTTCTATCTGCTTTTGCATGAAATGCTGCCCATAGAGGTCAGTTTCTTAGGAGTAAAGGTCAAAATTTTTATATGTTGTAATTAATTCAGCTAGCCCACGAATGGGGTTACAGTGAATGGCTTTCAGGTTTTTGATGGCTTAATAATAGTGTTGTAAGTTTCAAATAAATATGGAATTCATTGTAGAATCCCTTAAGTTTTGTCTTTTTCTCTCATTTAATCAATTAAAGACTATTTTAAAAGGGGAAAAGTAATTTTAAGAAACTGGCAGTAAATAGGCAGTTTCCTTATAATGTGAAATTAAGTTAATTTACAGGTCTTAATTCCAACCAAAATATTTCCCATTCTGGTAGTAAGCAAACCCAGTTGTGCTGCATGATGATCACCGTACAAACTGGTGCCGTTCATGCCTTTGTGTGATTGCCTTACAGATGATTGTTGCCAGCCAGTCAGAACATGGACAGGTGCTGCATGTCATTCCTTCTGCCCAGCCAGGAATGGCCCAAGTGATTATTCCTCAAGGTCAGCTTCTGGATGTGACCAGCACACAGGGTGAGTTTAACCTGTGGGACTTGGGGTGTATGTTCCTGTGACTAAGCATATCCTACACAATCTTTTTAAGCACGTTGCTTTTATGTGTTTCCTTTCCTTAGTCATTTATAAGACAAAAATACATACTTACTGAATCTCCCTTCTGATTGTGAATCTGGCACCCCACACACCACATTTGCTGTTGGGCGAAAGCCTTATGAAATAAGAGCTAACATGCTCACTTTAGATATGTGACGTATAGATGAAGATATCAAACACGAAGCTGCTTCTTGCCTTTTTTACCATTGATAAGGATATTTGTGCCAAGTCAGACAGCTGTAATATCAACTTCAAATTTTCACTTTCTGTTTACTTAATTTTGAGTGAAGTAGTTAATTAATATAATGCAGATAGAAGAATTAATGTTCTTCTGGTCTGTTCCGGAGATCACTGGTGATGATGCATCTTTTGTAAAGCTAGAAATGAAGGACCTAGGTAGAAATTCAGTTCCCAATGAAGAAAATGAGATGTAACTTTCACTTCATTGCCAATTTCTTTCCCTTTCAGTGTGTTAAGTATCACATTTTAAGTATGTGGTGAGACATAAAACTAGAAGTGCAAATTTTAAGCTTTTCTCTAGAAAAGGGGTGTACTGAAATCTGCAAGCCTTGCTGGGTGGCAAAATGCTGTGCACTAGTTTGCATTCACAGAATAAGACTAAGAACTAGGTTGTCACGTTTTGTTAAACTCTCCAAGGTGTATTAAGCTGTTTTTGTGTTTTCTGTATGAAATTCTCAAAATCTGAGCAAATTCTCAAAATCTGAGTGCTAGTTAAGTGCTCCTGTGGAATGAGAGCTCAAAGGTAAGACTAGAGTCCTGATGTTGGGTGTATAGAAAAAAAGAGTTGGGATTCAGGTCATGATCTAGGCTTGCTCCTACCCTAATGCTCATCCTTCCCTTCCTCTCCACTTGCTCTTGCAGGGGTAAGACTACTCTCTGCTTAAGTGTAGTTGTACAGTCTTACGTGACTTAAGATGATTGTGATTGATTCAGTTGCTAAATAATTGCTACTACTTTTTGTAGGCAATAAGTTGCAACACTGAATATGAATAGTATTTCTGTATTCTCCTTTTTCATACTACATGGGGCTCCCTGTTTGCAAATAGCTCCATTTCACAGTATTTGAATACATGTTCTGCAACAGTGCTACAGGGGTTTTTTGTGTGTGTTTGTTTTTTTCCTAGAGACTTACTGTGTAAATGAGTTTATAGTTATTTGATCTTTAAAAGACAGTTAGGAAGACTTGTCAATGGTTTACTATGGAGATTAAAGGGGAAGGAGAATGGATTGCCAGTCCTTGAGTTTCACTTGCCTCCAGGTAGTAGTAATGTGTGAAATGGCACAGGCTTCAGAGCAGACCTTAGTGTCGCAAGCGCATGCCTATGTAGAAGGAACCAGCGCTATGAGCTTTGAGCCCGAGTGGTGTTTCTCTGAGGTGCATGCTTGTGAATCTTTTGGCACAAACTTTTTAGTGGAGTGATTTCTGTACTGAGTCAATAGCCTATCACTCTTGGGATGGGGGAGAGAAGGTTTCGTAATTGAACAGCAAAAATCCTGCATCTAAAGAGAGCTCACTTTTCTTTGTGTTGAGACCAAAATATCAAATGCCTGCTTTCACAGTTTTCCATTATGTTTTTGTTTGACTAAACACAGAGGCTTCAATCTAACTGTATTTTTTGGCTTATGGATTGCTCCCTGTTATCAAGAAACATTTGTTCGAACAGCATGTAGGATTCAATTACAAGAGCCCATTTTTTCTTGTTTAGTTGTTCTTTTCTAAGAACAAAGCAGTATCATAATCTTTTTTTCTTATTTTAAAAGCAACCAGTGTGTAATTTGTAGCTGAGCAAAATAGTTGTGCAATACTATATGGATTTGTGGAAATGTAAAGCAGAGTTCTTCTGATCATTTGCTTTGTGGTGAAAGGATTCGTTAGCAGTAGCATAATTGCCAAAGTCCTTGAGTACAAACAAACTTAAGAAGTGTATTTTCATATGTGTGCCTAGAGTTTTGAGTGTTGATTCACAACTACCAAACTACTTTATCATATAGAAATCTTACTTCATATATCAAAATGCTTGCGTTTCCAACACATAAAGTTTAATCATAGCTTGTAATTTCTCTATTCTGAGTCCAGTTATTAACCAGGAGGATGTTTTATTTTTGCAAAGATGTTTCAGAAGAGAAGCGTGGTGATGGGAGCTTGCAGACTGTGGCGGTGGCTGCTATAGCAGACAGTGCAAGTAGTTACATTCTACATCCACAGGCATCTCTCACTGTATCGAAAAAAACAACCACCAGGTAGGTCAGGAGTTAAAAAGATGAACAATCAGTTTGATCTGCTGTTACTACTGCCTTTTTTTCTTGCAGTTTATGTTTGCAGTGGTTATCATAAAATTACCATAGCATGCATGTTATGAACACTTAGTATTAGTGAATGATATGTAGCTAGCTGTGTTTGCAGGCAGCTTTTGTGTGTGCCAGAGCAGTGGATAAATCAATTAAAGTACCTGTTATTTCAGAGGTAGTTGGATATATTCTGTCCAGAGCAATAGGTGGGCATTTAGAGTAGCACAGTGCAAATTACTGAAATTACTCCAAATAGGCACTGACACTGTCAACCAAGAGTTGAAAGTGATCCAGTGAAGGAACTGCAGGGAAAGTTGAAGTTTGAGGGAGCAGAGTTTCTTGTATGACTATATTAAAACCTATATAAACCATCCTCCTGCAAGTAGGGTTGATTGTAGAGATGAAGTTTTTAGACAGAGATTTCAATGGTTGGCATTAACAGGGAAAGCCTACTCTTTGTTCTCTGGATAACTTCTTCAGCTTCCTTTCATAAAGTTTGAGAAAGTAGCTGCTAACTGTGTGTTTCAGTGGAATACTGAGACAGGCAGATTAGTTATCAAGGTTTCTAAAGATAAAATGGTTTTTATTCTCTTGATATCCACCAGTTTCTGTCTTCATGCTAAGTGATGCCTACTATTTTAATTCCTGAATACTCTTGATTCTTTTTTGCTAAAAAAAAAAAAAAAAAGGCGAACAACCAAATCAAACACAAACAAACAAAAGAACAAAAAAAACCTGACCCAAAGACGGCAGGCTGGCTTTGCATTGGTTTACGCTCTTTCAAAATCAAGATGTGGAAGAGATTAGAATAATCTCACCATGGCACAAATTATATAGATTCGAGAAACAATTAAATTAAGAGAAACAGTTTGTGAAAGGGTTTTGTGAACACAGTCTTTACATGTTAGAAAGATAATCCTGGAAAGGAGACATGTTTGTATGGACAGGAGGAGCTGATGCACTTGAATTTTGGAATAATAAAGATTGAGTTAGCATTGGTTCTGCCTTCGCATTTAGGGAATGCAGAAACTAGATACTTACTTGAAATAGTTATTGGAGCTGGTTTTCAGTAATTTAGAAATATACTGAAATGTGCAGCATTTAACAAGTGTTTGATACTGATTTTAACCTTTAGCATTCTACCGTCAGTCTGCATAAGAAAATTATCAAGACAATCAACTGGTCTGTTTCACCATGTTTTGTCTATTGTTGTCAAGCAACAATACTGAGAACACTGAATGCTCAGAGGTCTTCTTGAATTTAGAAAACAGTGGGTTTTTTAAAAATATGTATATTTACTGTGAATTATTTTAACAATGAAATTGAATAGGGGAAAATTTGGCCCCAGGTTTTTAAAGAAAGTTGATACAATATCTATAGTTTGATCATATGCTGTAGGGTTATACATAATGCACTGATGTTACATGTTACCTGTAGTTTAGACTAAATTGTCTGTATAGACTTCTACTATATGTTTTTGTTTTTCAGGGTGGTGGAAGATGCCTTTCCCATCCCTCTCCAGCCATTGCCGCCAAATACACCTGCATGGGCACGCCGTCTCAGGAACTGTGAGGTGGGCTGCAAAGAATTCTGACTTCATGTTTTGTCGTATAGGTTTAAGATACTGATCCTATTCTGTGAAAGGAGTAATGTTCATAGTTGCAGAAGTGGTGTTCAAGCTTCCTGATATTATGAAATAGTGCTGGTACTAGCTGGTACTACTAGCACATTTAAACACATAAAATGCTGTGGAATCCCATCCTTTTTTGGGAAAGCTTGAATAACTGACCATCAACTGTTCCTGAAGCAAACGGTGTGGTTCTGAAATCTCAATGCCCTACTGTGCTGGGAAGAGCTGTTCTGTGCCATGTTAGAGTTACTCTTGAACTGCAGTGCAAACTGCTGTCTTCTGCTGAGCAAACTAGTTTTTGGTGATCCATTAATTAAAGAATAAAATTGCTTTTGTATGGCCTAAGTCTGCAACTGTTCACAATTGTATTGTCACTTAGAAATCAAAATCCATGTGATTCACCAGAGTCAAGTCTAGAACTTATCAGAGCACCTTCATGTCAGTGTTTTATTAAGGATTTCTATTTAGATTTTCTTATTGATTTTTTTCTTTTTTTTTCTTTTTTTTTTTTTTTTTTTTTTTTTTTTTTGGTACCAGCATGGTTACCTGTGCTTGTTTTCTCTTTTGTTAAAAAATGCTCTGCCTTTATTCCCTATGATGGCTTTTGACCTAAACAGAACTCTCTCTTTACTTGCATATCGTAATATGTCTGCAGGACTGTCCTGATGACTGGGTTGATATCTACAGCTAGAATGTATCAGAAATCACTTAGGAGGAAGGGAGGGGAGATAGGAATGTTCTTGAGAGATCATCTACTCCTGCTACCAGACTCTTCCTAATAGATGTTTAGTTTACTTTCTCTTAATACTTCTCTTAAGGGAAAACTCATACTCTCTCTAGCTGGTTCACCTCATTAGATATCCCTCCCATTTGAGGTTTTTCCTATTGGCTTGGCCGCTGATAACTTGAAATTGCAGTTGCAGGGACTTAGAAATTGAATTTCTTTCTGTATCCACTTAGAAATAATTTTTAAATTAACTAAATATATTAATCTATTCCTCTTTGTTATATGCCTTTTGTTTCATACAAATGGTATTGCCCACTATTATATCCACCCAAACATTAAGAGGTCTGAAAACTAATAACATGAATTCTTCCATGGTGGAGATACTGTTTTCACTGAATGAGTCACTTGATTCAAATGGCTAGTTAGTGCTAAAAACACAGTAGCAACTATGTGGTACACACTTTCTTTTCCTAACATCAATGTAGCTTATCTGAATCCTGTATTATTGGTTTTATTTTATAGGAGGACTTGTATTGTGGTCTGCTTGGTCTGTCTGAGCCTATTACAAGAAATTTCACCTGCTACATTTAAAATTCACAGCAGCAGCATTTATAGAACTATTATTTTTAAAGAAAAATAAAATCAAAATATTGTCTGTTTTAGTGTGGTCTGAGGCTATAAACATCTGCCCCTGCTGTTCAACAGAACTGTTGCCTGTATACATTCATCTTCCTTGATCCTTTAAACAAACAAAGAAGAAATTTATTTCTGTTCTCCCTGCAGAGTCAGCTGATCCAAGGAGGAATAACCCAAATTCTCTTCCTCCTTGTGTGTTATCAGCAGAGTTGCTGTGCTGAGTTTGTCAATTACACAGTGGAAATCCACTGGAGACTGCTAGGATGCATGTGCCTTTTCATGGGCACAGACTAGAAACAATAGGATATTGAGGTGTTACCTTTCAGGTGTGACTGTCTTGCAGAATGTTTTGTTACTAGTAACAGGATTGAAGTGCCCAACTGTAATCTGGAGATGTAGCAGAGGTGCAGATGAATATGGCAACTCACAATTCCACTCTTTCAGTCACTCACCAGAATAGAAACAAACTTAATCAGTGTGGAAGTCTGTGTGAATTTCACAGAAGATACCAGCAGGTGAAGCCATGGCGTAGCCTCCATAGATGCTGCCAGTTGTATATCCCAGGGAGCTGAAATCCAAAGGACAATGAGTCTTTTGGCAAGGTAGTACTGCAGGCAAACATAAAAGCTGCAGCTGTCCAAAACTGGCACTAAGCTCTGTGTTTAGTGTTGATTCCCTGACTGCCTTGCAATGTTCAGTTTGCACTTGTTGTGGCCAGACAGTGTAATGCCTCTGCTATCCTGCTGTGTTAGTTCACTCAAGGAAAACTGCAGTGCTGGTGTGTGTACTTTAGTGTAATCTTTTATGTACTCCTGCTGAGATGAGGCTGGGGGAGAAAAGGAATTGTTCCTTCTTTTGGCTTGAAACTTGGCTGAAGTTAAAGGGTTGGAGAGTGTCTGATTACTTCAAGGTAATTGCATTGTTAATAAAAAGTGGATTGAAAAAAACTGGGTATTTTCTATAACCTACTTGGTTTTCAGTGATCTGATCAGAATGCATTTCCAGCATAAAGCAGCATACTGAAATAGAGTGTAATTAAAAACTGCATTAATTAATGAACAGTACAAAGCTAAGTTCATTTATTTGTGTGGAGCAGATGGCCTCCTTTGTCCATTTGTTCCTGCTTGGGAAGCTTCTAGAGAGCGGCGATCCTATGTGCTGTATAATATCCTTCTCTACCCCTTCTCCCGCCAATTTTGGGAAAATGATCTATCCTGTGCACAAGTAAAGCCAGAATATGAGACAGTGTCTTAACCGTTACGTCTACTTTTCTGGCACACCAGTTTTATCAGTCTTCTCTCATCTCCCTAGAACAAGGTCAGTGACCTAATTATAGTGACAGGTGTAAGATATGGAAAGAAAAATGCTGGTCACGCAATATTCACATTTGTAGTGGTACTGTAATACCTCTTGCGAAAGGGGGCATCCCAGGCTTCTGTGAAGAGGGTACTTGTTACACCTCTCAGGCTGCTTTGCTTCTCCTGAATTTTTCAGATCTAATTTTGGACAGAAATGTTATTTATAATTTCTGGCTAAACAATTGCCAGCATCTCTTCCTCACCACAGCTGTGTGAGTGCAGCCCATGTAGACTTTCTTAATTGCTGGAGCAGTGCTCCTGCAGTGCATGGAGCTGCTGAAGTGTAAGCAACTGGCGTCTCAATGACTGATGCAGCCGGTGCATACATAACCATCTGCTTTTGGGCTTGCACTAGCAGCAGTGCTGTGCTGGCCCAGTTCATTCACAAGGTGTTCATTTGTTCTTGGGCTTGACGTCTTGCTAACCACAGACATTTTGGGTTTTTTTAGGTGACTGTGAGGCAGGTTTTATGCACTTGTCTAGTGACAACTCACAAGTGTTTGTGACATAATAATCTTAGAGAGACACTGTTGCTGCTTTTGTTGTTGGTATTATTTAAATGTCTGTCTGCTCTGCCTTTGAAGGTGGCAAAATAGATCCATCAGACTTCAGTACTCATTCACCATGCATTTGCCCCACAGATATGCTATCTAAGACTGAGCTGACAGACTACTCTGGGTGTTACTTCCAGCTGCTTGGTCAGCCTGATCCCAAGCTGCATAAGAAGTGAGCATGGCGTTCTGAATTTGGATTGAAAGCTCTTTTCTGTCCCAGTGCTTTGGCTGCTTGCTGGCTGGCCCTGATACACCAGCTCTGAACCAGCCGTGATGGCACTGAGTAGCTAAACAGCTGTCACAGGGGATATTGCAAAGTCAGCAAAGTTGTTTGTGGTTTCTTTCTTTGTTGTTTTTTGGTTTGTGGGGTTTTTTTTACTTTGAGACAGGTTACATGCAGTTTTTCTGGAGTTGCCTAGAGCTTAGCAGAGTTCATTGAAACCATCATCAGTTTGCATGTGTCAAATTTGGTGTGTTATGTTTCTGTGTAACGTTGAGAATCAAGAGTGTGCTAAGTGGGTGAGGTGGTTACTGGTGGTACAAGCAGGTGTATTCTGCTCCAGCTTAGTGCGGCATGTGTGTGTTGAAGCAGATGCATAGACAATTTTTAGTGCTTCAGAGATTCTCTAAGTGAAAATGTTTGCCTAAGATGAATTTGTCTAGGAGGTGATTGCAACTGAAGTATGTGTTGGGGGAAACAACAGGAGTGAGGTTGTCCTATGGAAATAAGAGTTGGCAGTAACTATAATCTTTTCAAGGATTCTTGGTGTACTTATGGTCTTGGAGGGCTGACAAACTCCTGACCTCAGTGGGGACCGCTCTAGTGTTAGATCCTGTGGTAAATATATTTGTGAGGATACCAGTGGGGAAAAAAACATGAAACACCAAAAATCTGTGCCTGTGTCCTCACCTGACAGAGTCCCTGACTGCTTTTGTTTTCTTGTGTGATGTTCAGCAGTCAGATGGGAGAATAATCCTATTATTTCACCTCCTTTCCATGCAGAAAATTGGGGACTCATACCGCGGCTATTGTGTGAGCGAGACAGAATTAGAGAGCGTTCTAACGCTACACAAGCAGCAAACACAAAGTGTGTGGGGCACACGCCAGTCTCCAAGCCCAGCCAAACCTGCCACACGGTTGATGTGGAAATCTCAGTATGTCCCATATGATGGGATCCCCTTTGTCAATGCAGGTAACTAACTTTTATTCTAATAACTACTTTCAAAATTTCAACCGCAGTTGCCAACTGGCCATAAAGAAGGATCTTTATGGTGCTCCTTAGTGTTGATAAAGTCAAGGCACAAACATAAAAAAAGAACCGCTTGGGCACCTCCATGACACAGTCTGAAGGAGCTTGTTTACCTGAAACCATAGGGTTATGTTTTGTTGTGATTGCTTCCTTTTGTTCTTTAGAAATAAATTAGTTAAGCACTATTTGATGAGGGGTTCTTGTAATGAGATCTTTAGATGGAGGCCCTGTCTGCTCTATCAGGATGTGAAAGTTTTCATAAGGGTAAGAGCTTGTTTGAATATTCTTGCCTATCTTGGAGATCCTTTGACAAGTTTGTTCCACAGGAGGCAATAAACTATTTAAATGGCACCCTTTTAAAGAATCAAATACATTTAAAAAGCAAAATAAACATCAACATATCTCAGGAGATGTTTTTTCTTCTTTTAAATTAATGTTCAGACTACACAGGTTGGTAGTTTGCATATTTAGCTCATGCAATTCATACATGAAATTACTAAGAGCTCATTTGGATCTGAAATTAACAGGTTTTAATTGTTACATAGAGGTCACAAATGACTGAAATGTAGGGTATGTGCTTGTTATTTAATTATGTTTTTTCTGAAAGTAACTGAAAAAATGAAATGTTATCCCCAGTTTTAAAGTTTCAGCTGTAAACTGTGAGGCATAAGAAAGCTAAGAACAAAGCCAAAACAATTTATACTTTTATTTTTTCCTCAAAAAGCATGTGAGACATCTTTAGTTTCAGTAAGATCTACCTGATGAGTTACCCCACAGTAAGATATTTAGAGCAAAAACACACATAGATTTTTTTTTTCTTTAAAGGGTTGGAAACTAATAGAGACTCAGATTATGAAGTTGTAACATTTTTGCTTTGCTCAGAGCCCCCAGCAGGCTTTATGTATATTTCTAACATGTTGCCTTTCCACTATGTTCAGGTTATAACTCCTCTATGAAAAGCATTCATTAAAATCCTTTACACCTGTAGAGCGGAGGCTCCAAATATGATTTACTGAACTGCAGTGTAATTCCCAGATAACTGAATTCTAAACTGTGCAGGACAGAAGTGTTGAGCAATTTGTCCCTTCTGCATAAGTGGAACCAATCTGTAATAGTTTCCCTGCTGTGCTTCAGCTGTTGGGAAATAGGGAGAAGCTGGGTAGCTCCCTATAGTGTAAAGCGCGCACTAATCATCAAAATCTTTATTGTTATTTTTAATAAGAATTTTGGATAGTTGATACTTTTGTAGAAGAAGGGCTCCGTCAAATTGCTTTTGAGATTCATATTAGCAAGGACTAGTTTAAAGCTGTTGAAGTATTTTCAAGCCTAGAACTTTGATTTTTAAGTTTGTTTTTAAAAAAGAGACAAGATAGCTGTTTGTTATACATAATTTGCCTTTAAATTTTGTATTTCTTTATTTGCATGGATTTTATAATTTTTTTAAATGTCACAGTGTAAGGCAATAAATCATTTGGTACCTTATGGAAACACATGTTGCTGTTGTGATACTTAAAAAGCTTTTTGTTGTATCACTTGTGGTATAGGCAGCTCCTTGCCTGCATGCGTGTATATGAATTGTGAATAAAAGATAACTAAACTTGACATGGAAGAAATTTGGAAGAAGTTCCTTTCTTGACCACTTTAATGCTATGCCTATTACCCTTTTTGTTAGAGGTCTGACTGGAAGAAGTCACTTCAAGTTTAGAGTGAAGTAATATTTGTTTAAGCCTGTCTGGTTTTGTGGGGGTATGCCACACTGGAACAATGTAATTTAGCAGATAAGATTGGTCAGAATTCAAGTAAGAATTTATGGGACAGCATAGTCTGAAGTATTGATTTAAGACAGGAGGCTGGAAATAGCTGCTGACTTTTGATTTCAGCTGTGGATTTTCTCAGTTATTTTGGGGATTCTGCTTTTCTTATGTTTATTACCAGTATTGTACTCCTTTGGTAACTTGCAAGGCTGCTCATCTTGTGAAGTATTGGTGTTCACCAGGGCAGAATACTATTATTTTGCCTTCATGTATGTTGCAGGAGTGTTGCGAGGTTTAATAAGTTTGGGAAATGCTTTAAAAATGCTCTGTGTTCCTTACGTTCTGTGAGAGCAGCAGTTGCACTGTATTTGAATGCTTGATACACTTAAGGGTCAGATGGTAAACAGAAATAGCTGTTTTGGAATTCTCATCTTTTCTATAGTTACTGTTTTACTGTAATAGCTTCAGTGGTTCTTTGAATAAATAGAGTGTGTTACACTCTGTTCTCAGGAAGCAGAGCCATTGTAATGGAGTGCCAATATGGGCCAAGGAGGAAGGGGTTCCAGCCCAAAAAAGCTGGTGAGCAGGAAAGCACCTCTTGCCATCTGTACAAAGCCACTTGTCCAGCAAGGTGAGAATTGTCTATAAAGCTGGAATTGCTACTCAGCACCTAAGAAAGCATACTTTTTGCAAGCCTTGACAGAGCACCATTTGGAGGTGGTAGCAGATGTGCCCTTTAGCTTTGTTTCCTTGTTAACTTGAGGTTGGTACTTTTTTTGAGGGAAGGAGGAAATGCTGTCCTGTTAAACTGAAGAAGGCTGAGATTTGATAGGTTGCTCGATGCAAAGTAGTAGAACATCAGGATATGAAATACAAGTGGGAACTGTTTTCTACCTGGACATTATTTAGTTATTGTGGTGTCCTTTAGTAGCAACCATTTTTGGTCCTAAAACTTTGTCATCTTATTTGTTGTTTTTATTTCAGGCTTTTAATTACACTCGTATCAGTCAATCATCCTAATTTAGCAGATGTCCTATTTGCTGAAAGAGTTACAGTTCTTCCTGTTTGCTGGGGGCTTTCTCCTCATCCAACACTAATGTGTTTTTTCCTTGTCCTTGAGCATCCTCCTGGGTGCTTGTTCAGTTTTTACTGAGCTAAGAGTGTGTTTATCTGGACAGTTGCAGCTAGGTTTGTATGTGCTCAATTCTAGCTTCGAGCTGGGTGAACTACAGCCTGTTCAGAAATGGTGTTGTGCTTTTACTATACTGAGGGACAGAGGATTTTTGCTGAGGTGCAAAATCACCCTGAGTGACTTCCAGACTGTAACAGAAGTGTGTCTGTCTGTATCCATCTGCATCCATCTCTGTTCATGTATCCTTAACAATCCTACAGTTCTCTCAGAGGCTCCTCACCTCCTGCAACACTCTGCTTGAGCTTTTTCTATACTAATATCTGATATGAAGTAGGTGGGTTTTTTGCCTTCCCCATGAGGGCAAAGTATATTGAAGCAGAATTTTTTTTTTATTCCCCCTCCCACCCTCCACCCTTGGAAGGATCTATATTAAAAAGGTTCAAAAGTTTCCAGAATACAGAGTTCCTACTGACCCTAAAATTGACAAGAAAATCATAAGAATGGAGCAGGAGAAAGCATTCAACATGCTGAAGAAGAACTTGATAGATGCTGGCGGTGTCCTCAGGTGAAACTTCCACTTTTTTCTTTATCTTGACAAATGAAGCAAAAAAGAGCAATAATTTGCTTGTTTTGCTTTATTTTTTACTTAGTCACTTTATTAAGGTTCTTGCTTAATATCAATAGTAAACAATCCCCCAATGTCAGTAAGACTTCCGTGACTCTGGAGTATTTAGTTTGGTAAATGTGTGAAACACCAAGCTGTGGAACTTCAGCAGATGTTTCCCTGCTGGGAACAGATAGAAATAGTTGTATTATATGGGGGTGTTGAGGTGGTTTATTTTGCAGTGAAAGGTGTGAGAGGGCCCTGAGCTCTGAAAGGCAGTATCTTCCAGCTTGGGGGCTGTGAAAACTTGTCACTCTAACTAGGTCATCTGTGACTGTCAGACTGTGCCCCCAAGAGACTAATTTTTTTGCCTGCCGTTGAGAATTGTGTGTAGAAACTCTTTCCTTCTTGCCAGGTGGTACGTACAGTTACCCACTCAGCAAGCCCACCAATATCATGAAATGGAAACTTCCTGCCTCCCTTCTTCACCCTCCCATTTTTCTGTGTCTTCTCCTGAGGAGGAGGAGGAAGTTGTTAGAGATGAGAACTGTACTCTGCCTTCCCGACTTCATCCTCAAGTGGCAGACAAGATCCGAGAACTGGTGTCTCAGGGAATAGAGCAGGTCTATGCAGTGAGAAAGCAACTAAGGTACAGAACTGTCTGGCATGCTCTCAGTCTGTAGTGCTATATCTACTTTTGCATTTGGTTGATTTGGTTGGCAACTAAATTGTGAGTGCTGATGCATCATTTATATATTTCCCATAAGTCACGAGAATCTGTTTTCTGTTTTTCGCAGCTTTTTTTTTTTTTATTTCATTGTAGGTAGCCACTAAGAGCTGCTGTCCACTTTAAAGTTAGTTGAATAAATGGGGATTTTTAATTCCAAACTCTGTAGCAGACACACAAAAAACTGGATCAGAAGATCCTCTAGCTTGCTCTTGTTTTATTGCAGTAAGGGGAGGGAGAAGGTAGCAGTGTTTGTAACAGAGGGAAATAGCACAATATATTTTAAATACACATATTTTAATGTCCTTTAACATGTGACAGAAAGTATGTGGAAAGAGAATTATTCAAGCCTGATGAAGTGCCAGAAAGACATAACCTGTCCTTCTTCCCTACTGTGAATGACATCAAGAACCACATTCACGAAGTGCAGAAGTCCCTGAGGAATGGCGAGATGGTGTATAATTCAGAAAGTATCCCAGCAACGGTATGTTGGCCTTCATGTTTCTTTTTGATTTTTGGAGCTAAATATTGGAAGTCTTATTTTTAATTTTTACCACTTAGCTGTATTTCATCCAGAATTCTCTATGACTTTATATTTCCAGCAACAACATTTTCAGTGGAATCTCTGGCTGAGCAAGATTGGATTAAATGTGAATAAAACCTTCTGACCTTATTCGGTATTTATGTCATCAGCATTAGATCGCTATTAATTGATTGACAAATTATACAATACTAGCACTTCATGATGACTGCATGAACTGGAAGCCATGTATAGAAAAATTGACACGCGTCAGAAAATTTCAGTCATGGCTTTGTCGTGTTTTTGAGAAGTTACTACTACTTTTCTGTATCTGAAAAATAGAGATGAAGTATGTTTTGGGTGCAGTCTAAATTAGGGCTTGCACAACATTTTGAATGTGTAAATATTCATAAATGCACTTTATAGCAAGGGAAGTAAGCATGAAGTAGATACTTCAGAATGCTCAGTAACTCTTAGGCAGTGTTCCTTAATTTTCTTGTACCTATTGAGTAATAAGGGATACAGATTGATCCTAGTTTTCCCAGTTATGAGGCTGACTGCTAAGGAATTGCTGATTTAAAATAATCTTTGACAAACTGTGCTGTTAAATCATGCTGTATCGTCAGTCTTTTCCCTCTCCCTACACTGCTCTTGGCCCAGGTGAGTGCCTGATACTTGTTAATTAGCCAAATGGTTTGACTATTTTCTATTTTAAAGCCTTTGAACTGTCATGAGCAGACTTTAGCCTTCCTGCTATAATGCATGTTAAAAAATATTTTACAGGTTTGGGGGTTTTTTTGTAAGCCAAGACCTCCCAAAATACATAGTTATAAGAAAACAAGAAAGTGTAGTTTCAGACAGTGTTTTTCTATGAGTCCTGTATTTGGCCTGTGTTCCTGTAGTAGACAAACTTGCACGCTTTCTGAGAACTTAGATCTTCTTCCTTTCAGCTGCAGTGGACCACAGACAGTGGGAATGTTCTCACAGAAACAGTGACCGTTACATTTGCCTCACCACCTTCAGATGGTAGGACTGCATTAATAATTTCACTGTCTCCAAATGTGATTTGTTTCATTAACTGTGTCACAGAAGTTCAGTTTCCTTCCAGGGAAGTTGCTGTCATGTTCTGTCTCTCCGGTGAACTTAAGAAGGATTATTCTGATGTGTCTTATTTTGGCATGCTTTTTTTTTAACTGTTTGAGTGCATGTGTGGAAAATATGTGTAGTTATATGGGGTTAGCAGAATTATGAAAATTATAAATTTGGCTATTATTTAGCATCCTCAAGCAACTGAAGATTTTAGGGGGATGGTTATATGGAAAGAACATTTTGCCTTGAATGAAGGTTCTATTATCGCCTGTTTAGAGGGAATGAAATTCCTACTGAGCAGACAAGGCAGGGCACAGAAGACCCACAAGCCAACTGGGTCCTTGAGTTCCTTGATGATTTATGCTTCACAGGTGCTTAGACATCTTGCTAAAAAGGACTTGAATGCTTGTTAGGATTCCTCTTTCTCATAAAGTCATTGGCTTGATGAGTTCCACTGCTAGGATCAGGCCCTGAACAACCAATGCTGTATTTCTGTTGTCAGAATTGAGAACACACTTCCATTTTTCTTAGTGTTTGGAATAGAAATAGAAACACAGGTGTTTAGTGGCAGCAGGGCTGTGAGATTTGTTTCTTCAGTTCTTCATGTGGTGTTACTTCTTTACTGAAGCTTGGGTTTGTGTGTTCGTGGTCGACGGTCTGGTTTTTTTGAAGACACTAGTTACACTATTTTTCCTTTGTTGGAAGTGGGTTCCTGCTGCTATTACTTCAACTTCGAAACATATACTAAAACAAAGTTCAGGTGTTTGTAACCAGACATACTTGCAACCCACATAGTTAGGATTGCACATAGGCTGAGATGCTGTACTGGATCATGGTGGCTGATAATAAATTTAAAATGAAATTATTCTGCCCTTTTCCCCAGGTTTCAAGGATATTTTGACTAGTGTGACACCAAAAGAACTTTCCTGCATGTTGTAGATGCTTCCCCCATCCCTTCTTTAATACATTTGATATGAAGCTCATCGAAAAAGTTGTTGGCTTTTATCAGAGATATGATGGCAGCAATTTGGAAGAGCCTAGTCATTTGCATATGTTAAGATAATGCTGCAGAGTTCTTAGAGGTTTTTAATCTCAGTGGCACTGCCAGCTTGTTTCCTCATTTAACTGGAACATGGTGGTGGGTTCTTTTTGTTCCAGACAGGTGGTAGAGAAGTCCAATGGGACCAAAGGGGCTCTGCCACTGTTGTCAGGTTTAAAGATTTACTCATGTCGACAGTTATCCTCTAGCGTGGTTTTTGACTGAGGAAGTCCTGATGTGTTTGGGTTTCTTTCCCCTTTGGCCCCTTGTCGCTCTCTGATCTGTTTCTCATCTTTGTTGTAGCAGGAAAAATAAACCCCCAGAGGTTTGTCTCACTGTGTGATTTCTCCTAAATTACTTGGTGAACCTGATTTGTGTGGAGGAGTTTCATGTGCACCGGTGCATTTATAGTTAATAAAAAGACTAATGTTGGGCTTTGTTTTGTTTAGGTTTTTTTTAACTCCCAGGGATGACTTTTGGTATGAACTGTCTGAATGCTGGAGAAGGTTCAGAAAGACCAATTCTTGCTTTGTCTTTCACAGATAATTTTTTAAGGCAAAGTAGCCTATCAAACGTGTAAATTTCAATTCAGTGACATAACTGAATTTTAAAGGAAACTAGAGAATTGGATTTGTTTATTTTTTGCACATGTGCACCAATTCAGTGAACATAAGCAGATTTTTTTATTCCAGCATATCTTGTCTCCACTTAAATATGTGGGTATGTGTTTGTACACATTGCAAAAACATGTTTATAATTGTATTACAAGTCTAAGCAAAAAAAGAAGCCTGACTTTGAAAAAATCAGCTCTCGTTAGTGTTATGTGAAGTGGTAGCAAGGGAAAACAACACTGACTTCTCAAACTACTGTTTGTATACTTTTTTTTTTAATTTCAACTTGTGTCAAATGGGAGCAAATTTACATTTAAGAAGTCAAACAGTAATAGAACTAAATCCAGCTGTTTTGTTTTCTTGTTGTGCAGAACTCCCTATCTCCATGTGATAGAGCTTTCTCTGTTCTCTCCTAGGTGTAAGAATAACTCTAACTATCAAACTTAAGTGTGTTCCCCTTTTACATCGTTTATGAACTATAATGACTAGTGAGATAAAGTACCTATATATTTTTTTTTTTTTAAACTTTTGGCATTCATACTGAATGCCCATGCAGTGTAAGGAGTGGGTAGATTAGGAGTTGAACTATTAGCTTTATTCCTAGGAATGCTGGTGTAGAATGCAACCTAAGGAAAGAACTACCATGTCTTCCTACATGTGAATATTCACATATGCATGTGGAATCTCTGTGCAGTATTAAAAAGAGCCTAAATATTTGAAGTAGTTGTGTTCAAGGAGACTTACAGAGTGTATCTGATGGCCAGTTATGATAAAAAGTTAGAGTTTACAAATCAGTATATATTTTGAAAAATGTATCTCCACTCACTCAGATGTCTGGAAACTTCTGTATGATTTCCTGCTAGAAAGCTTTTTGTGATTGACCATTCTCAATTTTTTTCCATTCACCAGGCTCACTTTACGTCCACAGGGCAGGATCTTCTTTTACAGTTATAGCAGTGAAACTGCAAAATAAGAGGCTAAGCACTGTCTGCTTGTGTCTGGATAAACCTTATCCAAAGTGTTCTGGGTGGCTCAAACAGGAAACTGAAGTTTTCTTGCAAAAAACTGCTACAAGTGGATGTCAGTTTTTACGAATCTTCAGGAAATTAAGTCTGTCATTCTTTCATTAAATAAGAATTTTGAGGATATGATGTAATCTGTAGTCTGAAAGGCCTCCAGATAAATGGACTTTTGGTGTGATATTGCAAGTTATCCTCATTCCACAAAGATGTTTGGAAGGGAGTGGTGAGACTTAGAGGATTTCCTGTGTAGATTTTTATTTTGGAAGACAACACGTTCTTTTGATGCCTATCTGTTACTGAGCCCTTGTTGAGGTATATGTATTATCAAATTATTTGATTGCTAGTTTGATAGAAATATTTCAGCTTTTATGTTATAGCTAGAAATTCAAAGCACAGGGTAAGGTGCAATTACTTTGCTCTCTGAAATGGTTTTATTGGTGCTTCTTTTTTTTACTCTGAACAGTCATAGGAACATACAATCTTCCTGTAGTATTGTCTTTTCCTCATACCCAGCCTTTTTTTCTGTAGCGTCCAAGTTCTTCTGCAAGGAGAACAGCATATTTGTGTATATATATGTCTTTTATATGCCTATACTTAGATTGAAGGGGTTTGTTCTGTTTGTGGGGAAAGCTTTTAAATGGGAAGAGGAAATTTGTCATGACTGTTTGCTTCTTCTCTGTGGCACTGTAGGGAGCTCAGCAGGGGAATCGGTCATCACCAAAGCAGAATCCAGCCAGAGCGGGGAGCCCTTGCTACCAGAAACAGCTCAGCTTTTGTCTTCGCTCTCTTCACTTCAGCCTAAGATATTTGCACAACTTCAGGTACGGTCAAGTCGTTTACAGAACATGAAACATTTTGCACTGGGAATGCCAAAGGCGAGCTGAGAACAGCAAGTTCCCTCTCAGCTAATGATCCCAAACGCTGGCTAGGTAACACGGACTTTGAAATAGCTGTCAACTCTTACTTTGTCCTCTCTTGCTTGTCACATTTGGCATATAGACGTGGTGCAGCGGATCCCACTACCATCTTTTGACACTCTGTAGTTAAGGTCTCTTGTGAAGGCAAAACCAAGTAGGTGAAGGTAGTGGGCTTCTGCCTCAAACCAGGCACCTACTAATTTTCCACACAGTCCAGTCATTTTGTAACGAAAATGCTACAAAACTGAGGGGAGATAAGTCAGTCTTATTTATTCCTTATAAATCCTCCTCCAACCTCTAAGAAAATACTTTAAAATCCTAAAACTGCTCCCAGCTCAGATCTGTAAGCTTCTAGGTTGAAAGGCTGAAGAGTGGGGATAAGAATGTCATGCTAGAAGAGCTGCTTCTAAAGCTCATCTCCCTTCAAAGCTGGCTCTCTTAGCCTACTTCTCTAATTACTTTTTGAAAAGCTACCTTCATGCTTCCTCAACCCCAGTGAAATGCATGATCTCTTCCCTAGAAATACAATCTGCAGTAAGATGCTGTTTTACTTGCTGTTTCCCTTGTTTTCTGAAGGTGTCCTGGCTCAACCTCACTCTCTATTTTAAAGCAGTATGCTTAGCTTTTAGTGCCCACCTTTTGTGGGAATGGACAGTATTGGCTAATGATGTGAAACCAAATATCAATCCAAAATTAGAGCTTTATGGTCAAAAGTAGTCTTCTAGATGCTGCTGGATAGCATTGTCCTAATTGTTTTCTAATACAGCCTTAGCCTAGGGTTGCTGGGATTGACTGTTTGAAAGAGATGATGTATAGGAAGTCAGAAGGTATCTGGTTCCAGCATTGCAAAATACATGCCATTAAATGCAGATTCCTCCTGCTGCAAATACTGGTATGTTAGTTCTTCTGCCTTCTCTTTCACAGGGATTACAGCTGCAGTCAACTTTTACCTCCACAAATGGATCAACAGCCCTGATTGCTGTAAAAAACCGTTCCCCTCCCAGCCCTGCAAGTCTCTTGGATTCCATAGGGACTGCAGTAGCCAGTCATTCTCTAGTGCTTAGTCAGGGAAACAGTCTGCAAGCAAGTGCTGGCCTAACACAGCACAATACTACTGCCTCTGTTCTTGGGACTCCTCCTGTCTCTGATCAGAGTCTGGTCACCATGGGCCAGCTGGTGGCAGTTGGAGGGGTAGACGACTCCAGAAGCCTAGAAGGAGGAGTCCATCAGATTCTCTTGGGAGATGTACAGGCTATTCCAGTACGGATTGTGGACAGCCATCCAGCACTTAGTAAGTTGCAGTCTTCCTAATAATATGTAACTATAGAAACACAGTGGATTTTGTTCTGTGTGTCTTGAAGAAAGGAGAGAAATGTGTTGATAATGGGAAACTACAGCATAGAGTTATTTTGGCTGATTCTAGTTTCTACTGTGAAAACACGCTGACTGTAAAAAAAAAAAAAGTTTGCTGTAAAAAGATGGCTTCTTAGTTAAACTGATTATCATTTTCTTTGATGAAATACCATCTTATTTGATGAATACAGTATTTTTGCCAAAAATCCTAATATTTATCTAAAATCGTGGTCTTCAAAATAGTTTTTTAAATGGAAAATAAGAATAGAAAACAACCAATATTGAATTTAGTTAGAACTCTTTGGAAAGAAATGTGAGTTTTTTGATTACTTCTTTCTTTGCACTATCCCAGATTTCTGAATTTTTTTAATGAACTTTCACTAGGATCCTGTAGTCATCAATATGCTTTAGAAGTCATCAGTTGGAGTTGTATGTAATTGCTTGGAATTTCAAACTTCTGTTTGAAAAATATTTTTTAAAAAATACACAATAAACACCACAAATACCTTCCTGTCAAAACAGTAGGCTCCTTAAAACCACTGTTATCAAATATAAATACAGTCCTTGCATTATCACCTGTGGAATCTGATTGAGAATGAAAGCTTACATTCTCAAAGAATGATTTCTAATTCTTGGTGAAGAAAACCTATTAGATATGGAGCATATATAGATTAGTGCAACACATCCTTTTCACTTTCCAGAGAGTTTGAAATGTTAGCTGTGCAGTGCTGTATTGTTTATATATTATCTTTTCCTGTCATCTGTGACTTCTAAAAAGATGACTTTTGAGTAGTTTTGCAGGAATGTCTAGGTAAAGGTGTGCTAGATCATAGCCTACGCCTTCATAATGCCATAGTGATAATTATTTCCGTGTGTCCTGATGACTATTGCAGGTCAGCAAAACTTAATTTGTAATAAATTCTGTAATATTCTGAAATTGTAAATATAAGACTACATGAAGAAATAAGAAGGAAATAAAGGGTACATGAGGAAATATACTGAAATTAATATGTATTAAAGTAATACTGGGATATTTTACTGTGGCAGTATTGTCAAAGTTAAATTTAAGATATTTTCTGCCTGCTTTACCCAAATGTTTGTGGAACTGGTTGTTTTCCCTTTTATAATTGAATTAGACTAATCTGCTCAGAAATTATATTTTCTTTCAGGGTTAAAGAATTTCGGAGAGGTTGTCAAATGTACCTATTCCATTCAGTTGTTTAACCCATTTGTTCAATCTAGATGTTGATGCCTCTCAAAAATTTATATAAGTGATGAGTGTTAAGTGAATTTTAAAATACTATTTTACACAAAAATAAATGTAGTCAAACATTAAATTATATGACTGCAAGGACTAAAATCACTGTTCCCTTGGGATTTCCTGTCCGAGGTCTCAGTCTATCATCACCAGCCTGAACTTCGAAATTTTGAGAACAGTGGTGCCATTCCTAAGTTATTTGGAGGAATTGCCTGTAAAATGAACACATACTTTTTACTGGTTTTTTTTTTTGGTTTTTTTTTTTTTTCCTAGCAGCAGCAAGTTCTTTGGAGAGCAGGAGGCCAAAAAACAGTCTAGACTGAAGAGGGAATAATGTTATAGAGCTTATTTGGAGTAAACATCATATACTTGAACTTAGCAGTTCAGTCAGCGTATATATCTATTTTTTTTTTCTCCTGTGTGTACGCATGCACTTACGCACGTATGTGCTTGGCTAAAATTATGCTATATGTTCTGGATTTTCTCTTGTCCAAGTGCTAACTTAAGAATAAGCTGTTTTCTGCTGAAAATACATGTACAGTCATTGAGAAGTGGCCAGTCATGCCTGAAGTGTAAGTCATTCTCTAAATCTAAAAGAAAAAAAAATATATGGTAGCTTTATTTGTCCATGGGAAAGATGAAAGACATTTTGTGTGAGCATCATTTTTTTTCTTTATAAAATGTTTTAAATATTCTTACTCAAGGGGGTCCTTACTGCAGTAAATTCATGTCAACTTGCAATGTCGTATAGCACAGTATATGACATAACTGGCTGTCAAACTAAACAGCAGTTAACTTCACAAATGCCTTACCTCTTAGCTTGAGTTCCTGAAATGTTTTTGTTTTTAAATGCATACAGTTATTGGGGCTGAAGCGTTATCAGTGGAGTTTGAACTTCAATGTTTGATTTTTGTTTTGTTTTTAAGCTGAAGAAAATACAGAGGGTGTTATCTGTGTGAGCCAAGTTAAACAAGAGCCAAGAGAAAAAGCATTGTCTATGGAGCCAGATAAAATCAGAGACTGCCATAGTTCCTCACCTATTTAAATCTGTGAAGCCTGGAAGGATTTTTCAAATTGGAGAACTCTAAATGTCTTGGAAGGAAGGATGGGTGCTCTCAAAGTAATGCTATTCTTTAAAATCATACTGTGACATTCGGACTAGGCATATTTTACACTAGTTTTGACAGACAGCTGTTTTGACGTAGGAGTGATGTGACTCACTGCCAATTCCAGGTCATTCAGTTACCCTGTGGAACACCACCTCTCTCTTCTATTTCAAATTTTGAGTAATTTGGATGCTATCCAAATAGCCCATTTTGGTCAACATTTCTGAAGGTCTTCCACAATTTAATTCCTTAGCTTTAGAATGTGGATCACACAGCTGGGTTTGCTTTTCTCCTTGAGACCCTCGCCTGTTATGGCACTAGAGAGACCATAGAATCTACCAGCTTCAAGACCACGGAATCCAACAAACAGCAAAGTGTATCAATACTGCAATGGTTTTGTGACAAAACGAAGGCCCACGATGCTAAGCTTCAAAGTAATGAAGGACATGGATGCTTAAGAAAATGCAGCTTTGACCTGAATATAATGTTATATGGTGTGAAGATCAAAGAGAGGAGAAAGGTGAGGTTGCCAGATGAACATAAGGTTGTATGTTTAAGAAAAGTGTGTGAATTATAACATGAATGTTTTCAGCTTTGACATTTTTGCAGGTATGTTCTGGGTTTATGGTGAGGTTTATTGCTGCATGCAGCCTTTGTAATGGTACTGTATTAGCAGTTGATCATAACAACTAAAAGCAGGAGTCTTGTCTTGTGGAAAATTATTGATGCTGCCATTTCAGTTTATCTACTTTTTGATTTATGCACTTATGCTATCAGCTCAGATAAATATGATTTAACCTGCTGCTGTTTGTGATGGGTACATTACTAACAAAGAGAGACCCAAGAAAACAAAGCAAGTAATATAAATCCAAGCAATATATGCATGTGTACTGTCACTATAACACACAAAAAACAAACTTGTCTTTTTCAACGGTGGCAGCTTCGAAGTCTGAAGTGGTCTGTATTACTTAAACTCGTTACCAGGAACCTTTAAAAAACTGAATATGATAAATAAATATTTTAGCAATATTTAAGCCAAAGCTGTAATAAGTGACAAGCATGAGTTGTGTAATCTGTGACAGACATGTTTCTTTAAGAAAAAAAAAAGCCTGCAAATGGCTTGGAATTTACTTAAAGCAGTAAATGAAGTTAAATTCATGCCAACATAGATATCAACTTAAACAATGACATTATTTGCTTCAGATGTTGGATTCTTAGAGTAACATTCAGAGTATTTTGTATACAGCAATATCAGCACTTCTGTTGTCGGTTTCTACTAAGTGGTTGGAGCTTGATCATAAAATTAGATCTTTTTTTTCTGCATGCTGTACAAGAATGCAATCTGAAGAATTTCTGTTTTTCAGACTTAAAAAAGACCAAAAAAAAAAAAACCCAAAAAAAACAAAAACAGGAGAAAGAATAGTTCATTTATGTAGAGGAGAAAGTGTTACAAATATTGTATGAACATCTACCTGAACATGGTGCAAAGCATTTGACACTGCCCTGCATTACATCCTTGTCTGACAAGGATTGAGGGCACCGTCAGCAAGTTTGCTGATGACACCAAGCTGTGTGGCACGGTCGACACGCTGGAGGGAAGGGATGCCATCCAGAGGGACCTTGATGGGCTTGAGAGGTAGGCCAGTGCAAACCTCATGAAGTTCAACAAGGCCAAGTGCAAGGTCCTGCACCTGGGTCGGGGCAATCCCAAGCACAAATACAGGCTGGGTGGAGAATGGATAGAGAGCAGTCCTGAGGATAAGAACTTGGGGATGCTGGTTGATGAGAAGCTGAACATGACCCAGAGATGTGCACTGGCAGGTCAAAAAGCCAAACGTGTCCTGGGCTGCATCAAAAGAAGCATAACCAACAGGTCAAAGGAGGTGATTCTCCCCTTCTACTCTGCTCTCTTGAGACCCTACCTGCAGTGCTGTGTTCGCCTGTGAGACCCTCAACATAAAAAAGACATGGACCTGTTGGAGCAAGTCTGGAAGAGGGCCAGAGGGCTGGAGCACCTCCCCTATGAGGACAGGCTGACAGAGTTGGGGTTGTTCGGCCTGGAGAAGAGAAGGCTCTCGTGAGACCTTGCAGCAGCCTTCCAGTACATAAAGGGTGCCTACAGGAAAGATGGGGAGGGACTCTGTATCAGGGAGCGTAGTGATAGGACTAAGGGCAACGGTTGTAAACTGAAAGAGGTTAGATTTAGATTAGATAGTAGGAAGGAAATTCTCTACTGTGAGGCTGGTGAGATAGCAGAACGAGTTGCATAGAGAAGCTGTGGATGCCCCATCCCTGGAGGTGTTCAAGGCCAGGCTGGATGAGGCTTTGAGCAACCTGGGCTAGTGGGAGGTGTCCCTGCCCATGGCAGGGAGGTTGGGACTAGGTGATCTTTAAGGTCCCTTCCAACCCAAACCATTCTATGATAAAGACTAACATTTTAAATTGTTAAATTTGTTAATGTACGTTCAAGGCATTCACAAACATAATCTAAATAGTGGCCATTTAAAATTAATCTTTCATTTTCTTTTGAGTAGTTAAAGCTAAAGTTTTCAAAAGTCTCACATTGAACTTGGGTTCCTAATGCCTTTATATACAGCATCTGTTAGGTAGGTGCTATATCTTAGTCTTACCTTAAAATATATTAACTTCTGTGAGGTTAACTAACACTGTTAATTCTGTTCATTTAAAGATTATGGTTATGGGTTGGCTTAAATTAGAATTTTCCAACAGGATCATGCTCTTATTGAATAAGAGTCAGTGTTTTATCATGCAAGTGCATAGACAATCTCCAGTTCTTTGGAGTCTCGTATTTAGTTTCTACACTAACTTGTTTTGTGGTATGCCTTACTCCTTTCTGGGTAGGTGAAAATCCCACAACATTCACCCTCTTGGGGTTTTTTTGTTGCTGTTAATTGTGCAAATATGTCAAAACTGATGTTCTCTGCTGCAGTCATAGTTTGGGAGCACATAGGCAGCAGTGACATTTTCTTTTCCAACTCAGTAACTATATACCAGAATGGGTACCTCCTTCTGCACTGCTGTATTCAGTGATTTCATCACCTTTGTTTTTTCTTAGAGTTCAAACTAATGCATTCCAAAGTATATTGCCTTTCTCAATATTACTCATTTTTTTTGAGAATTGTTCCTCATTTTTGAGAATGCTTATTCTCAAAATAATAAGTTACAGCTAAAGATTACCAGCCAGAGGTTATTTCAGTTTTAGTTCTCTTCAATCCAAACAATACATCTGTGGTTGGAGTAAAAGCTTAAGGAAAGAGAAGTTACCTTTCCATCAGTTCTTGCTTAGTTCCCTCATTGACAGATCTGTTCTTTGACAGTCGCTGTTCTTCCCACAGTGAGCTACAGTCTCGTCTTGTGCTGAACAATCTTTCTGACAGTACTTCTATTTTTTGGTTTAGTGCTCACAGCTGGAGGAAGTAAGCTTTTAGTCCATCTTGAATTGCAGATTGTGAAATGGTTGTGAATTATTCATTTTATAATCCACCCTGATTTGAACAGTACTCGGAAAATAATAGAACAAGAAGTTGGGAGAAGTTTAAAGAAGCAGTAAATAATTGCTTGTTTTTAAAAGCTGGGGATGAGAGTTGCAATTCTGTTGATTGCTAATGTTTCTTTGAAATGCTTCTTCAGCCAATACTCACATTTTTGTTTTCATTTTCCTTCATTTTCATAGAATTTCAGTTCTTTATATTACAAATACATACTCCAGTTTATTACAGTGTTGTGTTTTAATTTAGTGTAACCTTTCCTCTTTAAAGAGTATGTTTACATAAGTTTTGTGCATGTTGCTAGTGGAGGAACACTATCTTATCACCACACGAACCCAGTCTCTATATTCAGCTCAACACCTTAGTTCACTAGTGTCCATGTAAATTTTACAGAAAAGGCTCTATTATGTATGTGAAAAAAAAATCACAGGTAAACAATACCACTTTCAGTGCAATTAAATTTGTCAAATAGCATGCTCAAGGCTGATTTTTCAGAGAAAGCTGTGTAGCTTGGTGCAAAGTAGTTGCTTATTACTTTGTGTTGGAATTGTAGATGTTTTTCTGATGTTTACTTTGTTCTCTTGTGTTTGTTATGTTTAAGCACTTATTTTGCAAACCTAAAAATCTTGGGCTTCCACAGTACTGTAAATGAACAAATTATTCTTCAGTTTATCCTCATTGTTGGTTAACTGTAACAGTGATTGGTTGGCTTGGCAAGAAGGGCTGTGCTTATGTATGTGCATGCTAGAATGTAGAGAAGACGTAAAAGGGCCACTTCCATAGCTCTTGTTCAAGGCTGGCAGCCTCTTGGATGGAAACCAGTAGTGTTAATGAGTCCTTTTCATGTTTTTCGAAAAAACAGACTTGGTCATGTGGTATGAAGATTGTTGCAGTTTGTACAAAATATAGAGAGACAAATGTATATGTATGTGTATATATATATATATTTACATAGTAACTTAATGTATAATATTCCTATTCAAATGTAAACTACTTTTTCTTTTAAAGTCATGGTCTGTGTTGTGGTTATGGGTGTTCATGGGGAGAACAAGAAGAGCTACTTGAGGGCAGTGGTTTCTAGGGATGAAGGAGAACAAGTAGGATAGCTCCAGGAAGACCGGGTGGAAGGAGGTTCTGAAGGTGTGTGAAAAGCAAGGGTCCTGCGGGGAGGGCTGGAGGGTGCTGCACTGGGGCAGCTCCAGGATCCTGGAAAGGGGTTCTGAGCCCATCAGAAAGGCTCAGTGCAGCTCCTGAATCTATACCAATAGTGGATAGGGTAAGTTCATGACAGGAATTTAAAGCTATGGAAGAAAAGGGTATGTCCTGCTCTCAAAACCAGCAGAACTGCTTGAGTTTTGGTGGGTACCAGAGGCAGGTAAATGATTTCCCGTAGTCTGAGACACCCATTCTTATCTTCCAGTATGAAGCAG